GAGCGATGAGATCTAGACATGACTGAGAGTTTAAGAGTCACAGTTACGAGAAAGAAAGAATTCTACCTGATTCCCAGTCCTTACCTTTCTCCAAATATTTGAGGTCAACAAGGAAGATGATATTGAACTTTTTTCTTTATGCACTTGTCCTATGATTTTAGTTTTACAATAAGGGAAGCGTTTTAATAATTAGACCATAGGTGATGTATGTAATGTTGCATTGAATACTCTTCATATCTATGTACTACTCTGTCACATATGTTTTTCATTATAATTGTCCAATACCAAAAGTTCATATATAAATAGTGCTTAATTTGTTTCGTACCTGTCACTGTGTTGCTCTGTTTACTCTGTTTTGTCCTGTTTTGCCCTGTTCTTCTTTTACCCGTTTTGTTTTGTTTTGCTCTGTTTTCCCCTGCTTCTGAATGAGGAAGTTATAATATAGGCAAAATTATGATGTCAATTTCCCACAGTGGAAACGACTTTTCTTTGGCAGGGACATGAAGAAATCCCGGGCGTTTGGTATGCAGAAATCTCGGGGCTTTTCGCTAGCAATTAACAATATCAAAGCAGTAATCTGGGTATGTATATTCAATTTCCGCTGCATAATATCCTCATATTTCATATACTTACTTAGTAGTTAGATGTAGTAGACTTGTAGATGTGCAACAGTTTCAAAATCTACCATGCTTTCATAAGATTCAAACTAAACAAGTTAATTGTCCCAAATATATTGTGACGACCCTCCTTTGAGGCCGCCACTATTACTAACTTTTTAACTTGTACTTACTGGGGTTTCTTAAAATTTGCGGAACATTTTTTTTTTTAATATAAGAAAGAATACTTTCATAATTTGTAATAATAATTTCAAATAAGTGAATCACTAAATTTCTTAAAGCTTTTCTTAATTTCAGTTAAAGATAAAACGTTCTAAAAATATCTTTCAAACAGAGCAGCATTTGAACTCTTATTTCAAATGCTCTTTAAAAGCCTTTCTAAAACTAGCCAATTCAATCGGGCCATTTAATTTTGACTTTAAAACGGATTTCATGAGAAATCTTAAATTCAAGTACATCTTAAAGCCCTTTTAAAATCAATCATTTAAATCGTCATGTTTAAAATTTATTTATTTGTTGCATGCTCTGTTGCAACGTTCTAAAACTTTAAATCATATACCTATACTTTTTAAACATACATGCTTGAAATCTTTAAATCATATATACATATACATGATTTTTCTTAAACTTATTGCGGAAGATAACTGCGTGAGCGGTATCCATTCCCATCTCCACCATTCGTCCGCCGCTTGCCATTGCCCTTCAAGAATTGCTGATAGGTTTCTTACCTACAGCATGAACATATCTGATTGAGCTTTCGCTCAGCAAGTAGGAACTATATCTCACAAAATAACTGTAAGTACACATGAATAAATATGCATGAGCTGATTATGCTTAATTATGATGTCTTATCATAATCTTATTATCTTATCTTATCTTTCTTACTGATGGGCCCGAGTGCTCGCGTACCACTTGCGCGCAATCATCGGAACGTGAGGGTTTGCAAGGTCCCCCACGACACCGTGATTATAACTTGAATGCCTCCCTTGAGTCGGAGGACATTATTGTTATTTTCTGTTTCTCCCTTGTGGAGCATACCTCCCTTGTGGAGGCTGGTACGGCACTCAACTGATAATTATTCTTATAAGTTCCTCTTGACTTATTAAGGTGTATGCAATATGACATAGCAAAGCATACTATAACATAGAATGTACTCAAATACATATACTTCATGTGCACTGCTTAAGTGTATGCAGTATGATCTAGCATAGTATACATAATATTAAATTAACTCAAACACATATAATTCATGTGCGCTGTTTATGTGTATACAGCATGACATAACATCGCATACAATACTTAAAGCATAAACATGCATATATAACATGTGTAACTTTCTCTTTAAAATCTATTCATACTGTAGGCGAGATTCCTACTTACCTGATTTACAGAGCTGGAATCCACTCTTCGCCAAACAGCCTATTCTCTTACTTGCTTACTTCTGAAAATGAACACCCATTGAGAGTGTGAAATTATCTGTCATTTGCTATTCTATTTTAGCAACTTATGAAGAAAATCTAACCCTTTACTTAAGGTATGTATTCCTTTCCTTTAATGAAGGATAATTTACTATAAGGATCAATTTATTAAATCCTCAAAATCTTATTTTCCTTAATTGCCATTACAAATTTGTGCTAAATTAATAATTATATTAATTATCTTATCCTTATAATAAGTCTAATAATTTAGTTAACTAATTTTGGTAATTAATTAACCCTTTTATTCATATACTAAGTATACATAAGTTAGTTAATTAATCTTAGTAATTAATTAACTTCCTTAACAATATTCTAAGTCTTAGATAATTTAATTAATTAGTTTTAATAATAAATCAAATTATCATCCATAATACACTTTTAGTAAACTTTACTTTACCTCACTTTACGGGCTCATAATAGTGTTGAGGTCCATATTTACCGTCGTAAAATTAAGCGTC